ACTACAGAGAGGCATAAGGAAATATGGGGAGGAGAGTAATGATGGAAATATTCTGTATCTTGATTATGGTGGTGGTCTCACAGGTATACAGGTTAGGACAAAAGTAGGTTTACAGTTGTGGGTAAGTGAAACAATTTATTCTTGTATTATTATTTATTAATTACTGTCTTATTTTCCATACAGACAACTGTAAACCTACTTTTGCCCCACCCTGCATATAACTGTCAAAGGTGACATCAGCATCATAAATCACTCCCCTTTTCTTTCCCCTTTTTCTAATTACACATCCATAACCAAATCAAAGTGTCTCCACATATTACACCAAGGTTTCCAGCCCATCTGTACACCAGAAAATAAACAGAGAAGATAGCTATCAAAGCTCTTATCAAACTATGCCATTTAAATGAATGCAGCTTGTATACATACATTATACTTCAACAAAATTTTTAAAAGACTATGTCTTAAAAAATATACATGTTTATTACAGTAATTTTTTCCCCTAAATTCTGTATACAGAACTTCCAGGTCACCTAATTGGTTTTATACTTACAATTCCAGCTAAAATTGATAATATTAACAGTGGGCATGCAAGTTAGCAAGGGAACTCATGAAACACTTCAATGGACGTCTAGATCTTAAGTTGAGTTAGAAATATGAATGAATGTGGGAGGTAAGGGGATGAGGGAGGATAAACACTATGAAACCGAGTATGTGTATTTCCCTGTGTGTCTGGGGGCTACAAATAATTTGGTCTGACTAAAATTGAGAGTCAGACTAGGTAGGCGGGGAATTATGGAACAAGATGATGCTGAAAAGAAAGGCAAAGGCCAGATCACAAAAGACCTTATATACTATGAAGAATTTGTACTTCACCCTTGTAAGTAAAAAGGCAGGAGAAGATTGGTGTTAATGGTTAACAAGAAGAAAATAAAAGAAATTTATTCTGAAAAGATCATTCAGACAGAATTATGGGGAAAGGTTTGAGGACAAAATAAGACAAGGACCAGTTAGTAAACCTCTGGAATAATCCAGGCCAGAAAAGGACAGAGCCAGAATCAAAGCACCAAAAAAGGATAAATTAATATGGTACAGTACTATGCCCAGGCTTTAGTGACTAAATATGAAGAAAAAATACGTCTAAACTCAGATTCAAGCACCACTCACAGAGATAAGGTACAAGAGAACATGTAGGAGAAAGACAACGCCATCTCATTTAAATGTCTTGAGTAGCAGACTATGCCTCTATACAGAAGAGGTTACCATTAGGGCACACATCAGCAAAATCCATGTTGTTCCATGAACTCTAATTCTCATCCTTCAAACAATAAAAGGTATTTTAAATATTTTTCTACTGTCTATATTTTTATATATGTATTTATCTTATTTCCAGATATTTTCTTATGACATTTCAACTGAAATAAAACATGTCTTCAACTTATTATTTAAGTATTTAATGCTTTAAAATTTCAAGACTTAAAGACAAAAATGAATAAACATAACTACCTTTGAAATGTGACTTAATAGCAAAATAGAAAAGTGGTAAACAATCTCCCTTTTAAAAAAAAGTACATACTTCCAACTAAAGTGGCTTACATGTAGAGCTAATTTAGAAAGGGGATAATACTTTATTTTAGTAAAAAAAAATAAAGTACTTACTGGACCTTAATAATAAAGTTTCCAATATGCTATTTAAAATAATGATTCTTGAAAATAAGGTTTTATTAACATTTCAATATATTCTCTGAAATGGTATCCTGCTTTACGATATACCAAACATTTACGATATACCAAACATTTACGATATACCAAACATTTAAAATCAGCAAAATAAAAACCAGAAAAACAATCTGCATCTGAAAGCCTGACATTCTGATTTACTGGTTTATACTTTCCTAAGTATAATAATAAAAACAAATTTTTTTAGTACAACACATTAGAAATACAACTACCTATTTCAAATAATCAACGATATGACACATTAGTAAACACCAATACAATACTTGAACAATCATCTTAAAAGAAATAGAAGGAACACTACTGGTCAAGATGGCAGTGGCAGCAAATGCTGCCTGCCTCCTCACACAACATCAACATTACAACAAAATTATAAAACAATCATCACTCAAAACCATCAAAATCCGAGTTGCATGGAAAGTCTGATAACTACGGAATTAAAGAAAACATATGCATCCAGACTGGATTGGGGGTGGGGGGAAGAGGAGACATGGAAAAGCCTGGTCCCACATCCATATATTGTGGATAAAATTTTGGCTGGATATTTTGGGAGCAAGGAGTCCCAGCATCACACCAGGTGACACAGCCCAGGGTTCCAGTATCAGGAAGTCCCTATAACTTCTGGCTGCAAAACCCAGCAAGGATTTAGTGGAAGAAACTGCTGGAATCCTAAACAGTAACAATTAAAGAACCAACACATGAACTTAAGTCAGACTCACTCCCTCTGAGCTCCAGGACCGAGGTAGCAGCTTAAAAGGAACAAGAGGCAAACAGGGAAGAAGTGAAGTGCTGGGCATCAAGGCGAGAGCTAGGGTACAGCTTTCCCCCAGACAGAAAGGCAGGCAGAGCCCACTGTCCCTTTTTGAACCCTCCCCCAGAGTCACAGAGCCCTCAGGCTGGTGCCATATCTTAATATCCATAAACCTAGCTAACTGTGATGCTCTGGGAGATCCCTGGAGGCTCTGTCCCACCCAACTTACAGCTTTTAACAGTAGCTTTTTCATCTGAATGAATGGTCTTGGCACTGGCTTGACAACTTCCTAAACCTTATCAAAAAAGCAACAGCCAGCCTCAGAGAGCCCCTAGCTACCATACCTCTTGCTAAGTGCCCTGAGGCCCTGGACTAGCAGCAGCCAGCCTAGAATCACAACTTGGCTTTGTGTGTAAATCTCCAAGCCCAGCACAAGTAGCAGCCATCTCAGAATGCTTTATAGCTCAGGCATGGTGGCCCCAGGAAAAACACAGGTCGGGGCTGACCTGGCCTGCACCACCCAGGAAACCCGAGGGCCTGTACACCCAGTGGACAGCTACAGACCACCCCCATGTAAGAGCACCACCACCATGACCCTGCACAGCTGACCCTCCATGCAGAGCAGTGGCTGGTGGTCAGTGGTCTGGCCTGGGTAAATCCCTCCCATTGACCTGCCAACAGCAACCAAGATGCAACAACAAGAGGAGGGTGTACTCAGCCCACATGAAGGGCTCTCCTCAAGCACCCAGCTTGGGTGACGGGCAGGCTGTGCCACTGGACTCTAGAGGACACCTATTACATCAGGTCACGCTACCAACACAGGGAGTTATAGCAGCTCTACCTAATAGGGACAAACACAGGGAGGCTGACAGAATGAAGAGACAAAAAAAACATACCCAAAATGAAAGAACAGATCAAACTCCAGAAAAAGAACTAAACAAAATAGAGATAAGCAATCTAGCAGATGCAGAGTTCAAAACCCGGTTATAAGGATGCTCAAAGAACTTAAGTGAGGACCTCAACAGAGGTCCATAAAAAAGATACAGTCAGAAACAAAGGATACACTAACTGAAATAAAGAACAATTTGCAGAGGTGTCCAACCTGCAGCCTGCAGGCAGCAGGTAGCCCAGGATATCTGTGTATGTGGCCCAACACAAAACCATAAATATACTCAAAACATTACTTTTTTTTTGTGATTATGTGTCAAAATGTATTTAACATGTGGTCTGAGACAATTTTTCTTCTTCCAGTGTAGTGCAGAGACACCAAAACGTTGGACATCCCTGAATTTTACAGGGAAACAACAGTAGAGTGGATAAAGCCAAGAATCAAATCAATGATTTGGAAAATAAAGAAGGAAAAAAATAATCAGAACAATGAAAAGAAAAATCCAAAAAAATGAGGAACTGGGACAACTTCAAGTACTCCAACAATTGCATCATAGGGGTCCCAGAAGGGAAAGACAAAGAACAAGAAAATGGAACTCTATTTGAAAAAAGAAAGAAGAAAACTTCCCTAATTTGATGAAGGAAATAAGATATGCAAATCCAGGAAACACAGAGTCCCAAACAAGATGGATGCAAAGAGGTCCCACTCCAAGTCACATCATAATTAAAATGCCAAAGGCTAAAGATAAAAAGAGAATATTTAAAGCAGCAAGAGAAAAGCAGTTAGTTACCTACAGGGGAGTTCCCATAAGATTGTCAGCTGATTTCTCAAAAGACACACTGCAGGCTAGAAGGGATTGGCAAGAAATATTCAAAGTCACGTAAAGTGGGGACCTATAGTCAATATTGATCTATCCAGCAAAGATATCATTTGGAATTGAAGGGCAGATAAAGAGCTTCCTAGGCAAGAAAAAACTATAGTTCTTCATCAACAAACCATTATTATATGAAATGTTAAAGGTGCTTATTTAAGAAAAAGATCAAAACTATGAACAATAAAATGGCTATAGATACCTATCTACCAACAATTGAATCTAAAAAACAAACTGAGCAAACAAGAAGAACAGAGACGGAATCATGGATAAAGAGATGTTGCGATGGTTGCCAGATGAGAGAGGAGTGAAGAGGTGAGGACAGTTCAAAGTACAAATAGGTAGTTACAAAATAACCATGGAGATGTAAAGTACAGTAAAGGAAACGGAGTAGCCAAAGAATGTATATATGTGACTCACAACGCGAAAAATGGTGTGAGGATTGCCTGAGGGAGTGGGGAGTACTAGGTGAAGGGGGTTAAAGGGGGAATAATTGGGACAATTGTAATAGCATAATCAAAAATATATAATTTAAAAATTTAAAAAATCACAAAAGGAAATAAGTGGAAGATAAATTTCTCAATAACAGAATCATCAAGTTCTTTAATAGTTGTTAAAAAAATTTATTAAAAAAACTAAACACAAACATGATTAAATACTTTTAAATTAAATTGAAGTCATGAAACTTCCTTTGTCCTTTTTACATAAAGTTTCAAAGATAAAAGGACAAATTTAATTCTAAATATTTCCTTGTTTGCTAATACTACTTTAGTAGATTATTTATTCAATCGTTTCTTTAGGTTCTCAAGGTGTTCCACATGAACATCTTCTAATGCCAGTACTGTTGCTTTAGACAAGCAGGGATTAAATGAAATAGTCATTAGACAGCACAAATCTATTAGATCTCTCTGACATTTCTGCAAACCTTCCTGGAACTTTTGGTACTGAAGAGGATCTTTTTTTAACTTTTTCATCTCTGCTACTGAAAACCCTATCAAACTAGTAAGTATTTCATCTACAAAGTCTACATCTAGATATGCAGTACCATCAGAAATCTTTGCTGCTATACTCCAAATGCCACCAGAACTTGAGAGATTTCCAGTTAAGGTTACAATAAAGGCTTTGACTTTTACTGTTATAACTTCCTTTGGTTTGCTGGCCATTAGAACAGACAAATAGATAAAGGGGGGAGAATATAAATCCATGGTGATGGAAGAATTAGTGCTGTCCTCTGAAGATCTTAAAGAACAATTCTGAAAATAGTGATCATTTTCATTAGAAATTTGTGAATTCCTTTTTGATACATAACTAACCATTTCATCATTTAAAAGTCTATTATTTAAGGACCGTATATCTGAACTGCTCATACTTTGTTTTACTTTATTATCTGTCTGTGAGTTCTTTTCTTTATTTGTAAAACCATGGTATAGGGGTGTATTATTATGAACTGAAAAAGCACTACTGTTATAGTCTGTAGGAATTAAACAACTAAAAGATTTGTCTTCATTAGTCATTTGTTCAGATAAATTTTTTTCACCACAATTATTGTTTCCATTTTTGCAAATCAGAAAAAAATTATTCGGACTATTAGGTTTATGTGAAGATCTCACTACATTTTCATCTGTGATTCTGTTCAAAGTTAATGGCTGCAATTCTTTAGTCTCCATTTTTTCTTCTTCCTGGGCAGCTTCTTCTAAAAGCAAGGCCTCCGCCAATGAAAAATCATCTAATTCCCCATCAGTGAAAGGCACAGATTGATTTGGCAGTTTCTCCTTTGGTCTTGGAGAAATAACAAGTCCTGGTTCAAAACTTGACTGTCTTGTGGGAATAGTATTTGAGGTGGCATTAATTGCTGCAAGCTCATCATTTTCATCAAGACTTGCCAAGAGTTCTTCGTCAGAAGGTCCTAACACAAGATCTTGATCATCTGTATTTCTGGGAATGCTTTGATTAGAATTATTTGGTATGACTGAAACTGTATGATCAGGTTCCCCAATTAATCTTCCAAGTACTTTTTCTTGGGCATATTCCTCTAAAAGAGCATCTACTTCTCCTCCCAATACCTTCACATTTTCTGGTTTCAGTAAGAGAACACCAAGGCGGAAAGAAATTATTCCGTAAATCAAAATTTTTGTACCTGGAGGAAGATTACTATGAAGAGCTGGAATAGGCTGATATTCCATTCCCTGCACTTGTACAATTCCGTCAGTCAGCTGTAGCATCAACATCCGTGAAGGCTTTGCTTCCCAAGGCTTTTGGGTTACTTGTGTTTCAGCTGTAATTAGTTCATTCATAGTATTCTTTCCTCTCAACTTTTGTATCTGGGAATATGCAGGTTGACTTACATCAACCAATGAATTAATCTGCAGAGCAAAAAATCCATTCAGTTCTCCTTTTGGAACTTCTAAAAGGCCATCAGGTAAAAGAGGATGCTCCAAATCTTTCAGATCAGTAAGGAGCCATTGCTCAAAAACTTGTTTATTTATTCGTGCCTGACTCAAATTAACATTATCATTTTCTTCTTGGATCCAGTTAATACATGCTTCCAGCCACAAGAGAGGTACTTTTACATGCCACGTAGCTAAAAGCCAGGTTTCAACTCTTAATGCAATACTAGTTACACTCATTCTTTTAAATAAAAATTATGTATCTGTTACCTAAAAACAAAAAACAAAAGAAGTATAATTCAGTACACTTAAATATAGTCTCTATAATTCTGGACAATGCATAAAACAGGCATAACCACACCCCTTTGATTTTTCTTGCTTCAGCATCTTAAAAGCCTTTCATTTTTTACATATGCAAATTTTAAACACCACAAGTAAGCAGATAGTATAATGAGAAAAGCAAAAGGTTTAAAAGGTAGCTCACCCAATTAGGTTCTCTGACCTAATATAAATTTCTTAACTTTTCTAACCTAGTTTTTTCATCTGTAAAATGTCAACCCACCATCTATCTTACAGAATTGTTGTGAGGATTACATGATTAACATTTGTAAAGCATAATGTCAGATCTATGAAAGACATGTAATAAATAGTAATTATTATATTAATATAACCAGATTTTAATAATTTAAAATTTGATTAAGAAACAATATCTGAGTTTGGGTCTCAGAAATATTCTAAAGTCTAATAAAAGCAGCCTCCTAATTACTCAGGCAATAGAAAAAAAGAAACAATACTCACTAAGGTTATTTTCATAGCTACGATTCATGCTCTGTTAAAATGCAGCATTGAATTTGACCATACAGCACTTAAATGTGTGATCTAAGAATAAAGTTATAACAAATAACAATAAACTCTGAGCTGATATAAAGCATCTTATTTGTTTAGCTAAATAATTTCAATAGTCATACCAGGTAAGTAAACTTATGATTTTCTCAGTATAAGACAGTAGCAAAGAAGTAGAGACAAATTAACCCTATGTTCACATGAGTGTATTTTTTCCTTCTACAGCTACAGATATCTAAAAGTGAGAATTTACAAAAGTTGTAATATGCCAGTAAGAAACTCACCATTTGGAACAGGAACATATGATTTGATGACAGAACTTGGAACTGGTTGCTCAGGGGAGTACTTGTAACATCTACTGCTCAGAAATAGCCCTGGAAGCTAAGACAAGAAGCAGTAAGCATTATAAGACAAAGCTGCAAAAAGAATCACTGACCTATTTTCATGATTGCAAGAGTTTGATGGCTTGGGTTTTCAGGCTCCTGTTATCAACCAGGGTAGAGTACAGGTAATAAACAATTTTAAAAATGAGGTTTGGAGTGATATGAACAAAAAGCTAGTGACCATGAGAAACTTCCACACTCTAGCTTGCTTCCTTGTCTACTTAATACTTACTTCATGCGCTAGTATGAAAATTAAAGGAAATCGGAGAGGACAGGGGGCAAGGGCACCAGCCCAGACACAGATATTAGGCAGCTAAGTCAGATGACCTAAGGGGCAAATCCAGTCCATTTAGGCCGCTCACACTGGCCTCAGAATCACCAGCTCTGTGGCCAGTCACAAGGAATCCAGCAGCTGCTACAGGCAGAGAAGCAGGCTGCCCAGATGACATCCAAGGTCCACAAGAGAACAGAAGCTGAACCAGGCCAAAGCAGCTCTGGCTGAAATTAAATAGCATCGCCTGCAGAGGGAGAAAGAGTTCAAGGCCAAGGAAGCTGGGGCTCTGGGATCCCATGGCAGTGGCAGCACTGAGGTGAAGGAAGATAACAAGAAGACAATCCTCCAGACCTACTTTCTGGCAGAAGAAGGGTGAAGTCCTGGGTAACCTTATGTCTTGCCTATGACTTCAGCAAGAAATCCATGAAAACTACGACATAGCCCTTGCTGGTGTGGCTCAGTGGATAGAGTGCCAGCCTGCGAATCAAGAGGTTGCCAGTTCCATTCCCAGTCAAGGCACGTGCCTGGGTTGCAGGCCAGATCCCCAGCTGGGGGCATGTGAGAGGCAACCTATCGATATATCTCTTGCACATCGATGTTTCTCTCCCTCTCTATCCTTATCTCTAAAAATAAATAGTCTTTAAAAAAACAAACTACTACATAAATAAGAGAAGAAAGAAGTACTTGTTTCACAGACTAGCATTTTATATCCTTCATGGACTCTGAAACATTAGCAAAGCTCAAGCTATTTCTTGTGAAGAGGCATTAAATTATTTCTATATATGGTAAGTCCCTTTGCTGTATGAAGAATAGCAAATGTTGCTTCTTTGTAGAAACTTAAAACTTAATCCAAAGATTTCGATTTTTACCTCATATTTCTTAGAAATTTAATTGGTATATACATTGTCTGGTTTCCTATGTCTTTTAGCTCAAGCAACATATATATTTAGTACTGACTTTTTCTCTCTTAGATGTAGTAAAAAAAATTTTTCTTTGAAGAAAGAAAGGAGGTTAAAATCTTTTCTCCCCTAAGCATTTCTTGAAGGTCGGGGGTTTTGTCTATGAGTAGTAAATAGTTACTTGTGACCTGTATTAAGCAACAGGAAGCCTTAAAATAATACTTTCTGGCTAAGGATTAGAACAATGAACAGAACTGTTTGGGCTGCTTTTAGATTCCCTTATGCAAAATTACTAGATGACAACTTAAGAACTTGTTACATGTTATTAGTTAAAAGTGAAAATTCTTTATCATGTAAAAAAAAAATTTAAAAGAGCTAGGAGAGCCAGTAAATAATCCAGTGGTTCAGAGTACAAATGTGGTACCAATCACTTTTCACTTACACACTCTGTCACCGTAAACAAGTGGTCATATTATTAATTTAACACATGATTAAAATTTAAAGTAGTACAGCCGATGTGAGAATTACATGAGTAACATGTTAAAGGAGTAAAGAAGGTCATTAAAATTACTGAGCTGGTGAATCTTTACACTGAAGAAAATGATTGAAAGTACAGATTTTTTTTTTTAATGATATATATGAAAAACAATGTAAAAATTCCAAGGTAGGGAAAAGTCCCTGGCCACTATAATGAAAATAAACCATGACAAGTCAAATCCACGTGTCTCTATAACAAATAAACCAACAATCTCTACACTAGCTTTCTGATTTAAGTGGAAGTATTTCCTATCATTGCTAAGGAAACAAAAACATTGTGTACCAACTTTTACATACAAAAGAAAGGAAAATAAGCATATTCATATTTCTTTGTATATAGATAAAGAAACTTTAGAAGGATATACAGGAAATAAAACTTTTAATATACAGCTATACTCAATAAAAAAAGAGTAAGATCTTTGTGGGCCAGTAAATAGGGCCTACATAACATGTATAGTATACATAGTATGGTCCAGAAGTAGACTATTTGCATCAAGTTAAAAGCTCAAACCCCTTGTGAAACAGCTGACCTAGCACTACTCCGGCCAGAGGATCAGGCTGAAAGCAACCCCAAAACCACACGAAAGAAAAAAACACATGGGGAAAACGCTTATCCAAAATGAGCTCTCAAACTAAAATTATGATATACTTGAGGAAAATTACTACCATGAGCCACATCAGCAGACAAAACAAACAGGAGAATTTTCACCTGGAAAGAAATTTTTTTAAATAAAAAATCTTCAATGGTTTTAAAAATCCCTTTGAGCACACTAAATATACTTTCAAAATGAGACTAATATACTTGAAAAGATAATTAAACAATAAAGCCATTTATGAAAAGCATCGATTGGAAATCTCAGAAATGGGAAACAGCCTCTGAAATTAAAAGTTGAAAAGATGGGATAAACAACAGAATAAAAACAAATGAAGAGGAGCTTATGCATTGGAATTTAGCCAGAACAGAGTATAAAGAAAGATTTAAGAAGAAAAGAAAATTTTAAAAAGCTACGTAGGGAAGATAATCACAGTTTCAAGAGGAAAAACTAGAAGAGGGGGAGGAAATATGTTTTTAAAAGATAATCAGTTGGGCCCTGGCCGGGTAGTTCAGTTGGATAAAGCGTTGTCCCAATGCGCCAAGGTTGCAGGTTGGATCCCGGGTTAGGGTACATACAAGAATCAACAAATGATTGCATGAATAAGTGGAACAGCAAATCATTGTTTCTTTTTCTCTTTCTTTCTCTCTCTCTCAAAATTCAATAATAATTAAAAAATGGTTGAAGGTGTTCAAAAAGTACAAATTTCCAGTTATAAATACTAGGGATGTAACTATATTCATCATGATGTATATATACCTAACATAGTTAACACTGCTGTATGAGATGTTAAGAAAGTTAAGAGAGTATATCCTAAGAGTTCTCATTACAAAGACAACTATTTTTTCTTTTTTTTTAAATTATATCTATGTGAGGTGATAGATGCTCACTAAACCTACTGTGAAAATCATTTCAAACCATCACTTATACAGTGATGTACAGGGTCCAGCAGAAATGATGCCTCTTTACGCACACCATATGACATTTCAGGCGAAATGTCCAAATTGAAACTATAAATTATTACTCCCATATTATTACCCTACCAACCACACTCAAGCAGTCCTTACTTCTGCCAGACCCTGTATGTCAATTATTTCTCAAAAAAAGGGGGTGGGGGATAAATAAAAGTTAAAATAAGCAAAAAATAATAATATTGAAATTTTCCTGAAAGTCAAGAAAGATATAATTCTCTGGGCTGGAAAACCCCAATACTACTAAGCACTAAGCAGCATTTTTAAAAATCCACAAGCAAATATAGCATGGCAAATGGCAAAACATTAAGGACAGAGGGCAGAAAAAATTCTTAAGATTGCGCAAGTTGGATCTAAAATTTGAGACAGTAAAAATGTAGAAAATACAAAAAGAATTCAGAGGAAAGTTTAGGTATTCCTGTTTTGTCAAGGAAGATAGAGATTCAGAGTAGGTTTAGAAATTTATAGAATATAAAGTTATGTATTTAACGGTAAAACACCCATTTTTATAACCCCTCCTGAAACTCCAGAGAACAAATTTGCAAAATTCCATAAAACTCTAACAGTCCTGGCCAGTGTGGGCCAATTGGTTGGGCATCATCCCACAAACCGAAGGGTCACTGGTTTGATTCCTGGTTGGGGCACATGCCTGGGCTGTGGGCTTTGTCCCCAGTTGGGGAGCTTGCAAGAGGAAACCAGATGATGTTTCATTCTCACATGAAAGAAGATGTTTCTCCTCCTCTCTTTCTCCCTCCCACTCTCTTTAAAATAAAATAAAAATAAATTTAAAAAAAAACTCTTAAGAACAAAGAAAATGGAAGGGGAAACAATGGCAACAAATTTTGAAAGCTGGAAAGCAGACAGGAGAAAGCTGAATTCTAAGCCATTAAGGATGGCTTATTTAAAAGCCAGAACCGACAAAAGGCAACACCACATTCATTTGGAAGTAAAGGACACTCTAAAAACATGACTGATAGAAGATTCTTTAAGACATTAAGACTGTGGTGTCCTCATCCCACATCAGTGAGACTGTTAATTTTATCTTCTAAATCAGAGGCTCTTTAGACTGGGGGACACCAGAGGACAGTTGAAGGTACTACACTGAAATTAGAACAAATTAACTCTTAAACACTAAATGCTGAACACACGCTATTCTCTTCTTCCACAAAACTCCAAGAAATAGGACTGACTAGGCCTACACTCTCCTAGGAGACTAAAACACCTTTCTTTGGACAACCTTACCACCCTAACAAAGACAAGACCTAGAAATCTGTACTAAGAGGAGAGGTTCTCTAATTAAAGTCTTTCTGAGACTGTATCAGCAAACTCAGAGTTCCAATCAGCTTTCTTTCTGATTTCCCACTCATAATTATGTCAAGATATTTGAGAAAAGCCTCTAAAAAGAAATCATAACAAAGAGAAAAAATTGCAATGAAGTGATCATGAAAGGAGACAAGAACTTCAAAAAAGCTATCATTAATATCCTCAGAGAGCAAAGACATCATACCCATGAATTAAGAATGCTATAAGAAGGAGAATTCATAGGACAAAAATGTAACAACTCTTAGAAATTTAAAATATAATCACAGAAATGAAAAACAGTAGGATGATGGAAAATAATAAAATTTCTTTGAAAAGTAAAACATCAGTACAAGGAAGTCCATGAAATAAGGGGGAATGGAAGGGCAATAATCAAAGAAACAAATTTAGGAAAATTTATAACT